TGAGCAGAAAACCTGTCACTGACATCTCCAATGTCTGCATGCTCTCAGAGGCCGAAAGTAACTTCAGTGAACCCTGGCGTGGTTTCCTTCCTCCCACCCACATTTCACTCGCTCAGAACTCTTTTAATTCCTTGGAGCTCTGGAATGACAAGAAGAATATTAAAAGTCACAGGCTAAGTCTTTTGGCCTGTTAGTCAGGGTGATCCTCCGCTGAAGCCTGTGAAGACAGATTTAGTTGGATCTAGGCCCTGGGCAGTTTTACTGTCCTGTAAGGAGCCCTGCAGGCTCCTTTGTATCTTGATATTTACCATTCAGAGGCAAAAAATAAGTTGTCCTGAGGTTTTTAAGTACTGACAAATGGATGGCTTCCTTTGTGTGCCCTTTCTTCTTCTCCGTTTGCCAATTCCAAGTTCTCTGGCAAACACCACTGCCCCCTCACCATCCAAAGTCTAGGCTAACATCAGTGTTTCTCTGAAGAGCTAACAAAAAGGTTAATTTTTTTTGCCATAAACTATATGCTATATAAAAATGCTTCACCTGGCAGAATCACACTTTGACTGGAGTGTTCTTTTGCATGATCAGAAATCTCCTCATCAGCAAAATCCTTTGAAGATGGTGTGTTAAAAATCCTCCCAGATCTTATTGCTTGCTCATTTCGGTCAAATTGTACGCTCTAAAACTGTTACGCATGCAGAAAAGACTCTGAGGGGAACCAGAGAGGTAGCATGGACAGCCCTACTCATAGCTCTCTACCAAATCCAGGTTACAAATCTGGCACACTGAGACTGCAGGTGGAAGTAAATGGAGAAGCTGAGCTGTGAGAACAAACCTCAGGTTGATTTTTTCAGGCAATCTAATAGACTTCCTTGTGGTTTTTATGGCAAACCTTTGGCCTCCATCTAGGCAACGAATTGCTTTCTTGATGTCCCGTACCCAGACATCTCTCTCCTCCAGGTAGGCAGCTTGAAAAAAGTGGTCCTGGTGCTTGGCCACAGTGAGCTTGAACACAAACTGGAATGACAAATGATGAGTTTTTAAGAGTTACTTCGGTGCAGCCAGTTGGGCATGATTAACCTAGTACCACCATGACATATAGCTTACTTGTGCCTAGGGACTGTGGAAAATCCCTTAGAGCACAGTTTAAATTTAAAAAAACCCAAACCTCTCAAGAAAAACATGAACAGGCAATGCAGGTAACTGACTCCTCTCCTCCAGGTAGGCATCTTGAAAAAAGTGGTCCTGCTGCTTGGCCACAATGAGCTTGAAGACAAACTGGAATGAAAAATGATGAGTTTTTAAGAGTTACTTCGGTGCATCCAGTTGGGCATGATTAATCTAGTACCACCATGACATATAGCTTACTTGTGCCTAGGAACTATGGAAAATCCCTTAGAGGACAGTTTAAATTTAAGAAAACCCAAACCTCTCAAGAAAAACATGAAGAGGCAATGCAGATAACTGACTCCTTTTGCTGTTTCCCTGTGAACGATCCTGACATTGTCAGTATAGTCAAGATGAAGTCACCGATATAAGCTGCTGATTCTAACTTTTACTGGGATGTTCAACACAGGTGAAAGGCTGAAATGCCCAGCCCCTGTGGGCTTACAGCGGCTGAAAATTAGTCTTAATGTTTCTAGAGATAATGGTCAGCCTGAAGGAAGGGAAAAAAAAAACCACATCATGTTGGTCAGCCACTGATTCACAAATGGAGAAAAGGTGACAGTCACAGTGGAGAGTAGCTGAACGCATTTGCAGCCTAGCAAATATTTACAGGCTTAGTGGGGAAAAGATACTCCAACCCTTGGCTATATGTTATGATCACTACCTATCTAAACACACTGGCAACAATGGAAAGACTGTATTTCCCCCCAAATGGGAAAAGATCTTTTAAAGGTAGTTCTAAGCAAAAAAAAACCCAAAATCAAACTACAAAGTTCACACTCTTTGATCTTGTTTTCACCCAGTGATCTTTTGGATGGAAAATCTGGATCTAATTACTTGCCCAAGAGGGTTTTTCACTCCCTCCTACAGTTCCAATAAGTGGAACTGTAATTGGCTCTGCAGTTGAATTAGAATAAATAAAACAGGTTCTGACTCGGGAGGCATCTGAAAACGACAGGCTAATCAGCAGGGAAGCAGCGTGGCTTATGGGGGCAAGAAAAGCAGAGACTACTGTCAAAAAGCAACGAGCAGTGAATCTCACAGCAATGAAATCAAAACACTGAGTCTACTGAAGCTTGTGTTTGGAAATGGCATATTTCTGAAAAACCCTAATATGCATCTTCCAGAGTGTTGCCAAAGGGAAAAAAATTCTGACATGCTGAAATTGTGCAGAAGTCCCGCTGAGTTTCGCGGAAGATGGATAACAAACTTACAAACTTTCACAGGAAAAGCAGCCATCTACAACTTCTTTGACTCAGCACATGATTACCAGGCAATCTTTATTCTCTGCTCCATCTTTTATTGTACTCTCTCAAATGAAGCTTTTAACTTAAGAGCTCTTTTCTCTTAACAGATTAAGGTCTAAAAAGACTCCGTAAGAGCCAGTTTTTCTTAAAAATATAAATATGCGGTCTGCACAAAGAAGAAAATAAAAAAAAAAAATAAAAAGAAGAAGGAGAAAGAAAAGAAGAAAGGAAGGAAAAAGTAAAGCCAGCAGATCCAGACTTGACACCAGGGACCCTGACTCCACTTACCACAGAACCTAAGGATAATAATTCTCCTCACTTTACTCACATGAGAAAGTGAAGCTTGCTCTTTCATGCTGTCTCATACTTTCTTTCTATTTTTCTAATGCTCTGAGAGACTTCTATCTTTAGTCAGGCATCCTCGCAGTAAATGTCTGTAAACAGTAAGTGGATAATGTTCCACATTAGGATCATAGAGTCTAGGGGACCCCTCTGCAGAGGAATTCTTGGGGCTATAATGGCTATTTGATGAAACAGAGTTGCTGAAGTAACAAATGACTGACTAAACACATGAATCTTTGCTCATACTAGAAATCCTGTTTCACCAACAACTATTTTTCAGGACCCCTATAACAAAATATGTATGCTTGTGCATTTCCTGTATCTTATTTTCTGCCAAATAAGACTCTGAATTTGTGAATATAGTGATTTGTGTTTCACTGGGAATTGGGACCTTAGCCTATGCGCTTGATATCCTCAGTATTAGAGATCCCAAATTGTATAGGCAACATTTGAACTCAAAATCGAAACTTTTCCGTTTCAATGACAATTGAACAATGTCAGGTTTTGTTGCTCTCTCTGTGAGTGTAGATATGACTCTTAGTCACTTGCAAAAGCCCCACAAATAGTAACAGAGTACATGATTAAGACAGATTGCACGAATGTGAAGTGTGTGGACTGAGTAGTTACTAAATGGTAATAAAAAGGATTGGAATGGCAGCTTTACTTTGACTTTCGTGCTCCAGCATTTATCTCCCTGCTGCCTGAGCAAGTCAGTCATCGTTCTTTTATAACAAATATGCTTCCATTGCTCATGAAACAAGTTTCTCACCCCTTTATTCTGTGGCAACTAGATTTATATTTAATAGAGTAGTTGTGCAATTCAGCTGTTAAGTATCCCCACAACAACATAATTTAGCTCTGCCCTCTGACAGACTCAGAGAATTTTTAAAAAAAAAAAATCCGTCTTTGAATTGCTCCTCTTCAAGTATCTCAAGTTTTTCCTGAGCAGTCACGCTTTTCAAACACTACCTAAGTCCAAGCTTGTTCGTGACCTTCTTAAGACAAGTGGGAGTCGCCACCAGGATAAGCGTAAGGAGTTTGCAACCACCACCCTTGCATCTCTTCAGTGCCTTCAGGAGTCTCAGTATACTGTCAATCATTGTTATTAAAAATACCTACCTTTCTTTTGCCATAATCTTGGCATGGGCTGGTAATAGAGCTTCCTTTTAGTGGGATCATCCCTTTGGGACTGTTGTCAGCCTTCCGCTTGTAGAATTCAATTCCATCTTCTAGGAGCACGACCCACATTGGCTTCCAGGTATTAAACATGCTGCCCTGCATCAATAAATCACTGTGCACATTATGTTCAATAAACCACTCTTCACGTGATACCCACTGAAGATGTGACCTTTCAGGGAGTGTCTGCATGACACTAAAATAATTATAGTTAGTGTGTCTCAAGGGGAACATACCAGAGTCGTGTCTCAAGGGAACATGACCAGAGTCAGGATCATTCTGATGTTGAGAGGTGCTGCGTGGTTTAGGACTGCTCACAGCTCCAGATCACAACCGAGTTTTGGCAGAGTGTCCCTTGGAAGAAAGACTTCAAGACAGCATCTAAATGAGAGGCAAGCAGTCTGTGGGCTGACATTTTTTTCCTCATGGTTGTCTGGCTGGGCAGTGGAAGATGAAATTTCATTCCGTGCTCTGAAGATTGCGCCGAGAGCCCAGTTCTAGTCCAGTCTTGTGCGAGCTGCCCCTGCACACTCAGCGCTGCCCCTGGGCAATGTCCTGCTGCCATAAGGGATCTGCAGGGCACAGCTGAGCACCCAGGGACAGAATGGGGTGCAGAAGCTGAGCCAGAGGAGCCGCTACCCGTGGGGAGCACTGTAGAAGCAGCAGAGCCACGGGCAGGGAGTGAGAGATGTGCTGCTAGAAACAGTGTCGGAGGGGGGATTCAGGTGCCTCTGCCAACTCTAGCAGTGCAGGCACGTTCCCTGGTGCAACTCCTGGTCGCCTCACTCCCACCCAGCAGAGCCCTCACTCACCCTTAATGTCACAAAGACCAGGTGACCAGTTGCATTCTACCAGCACCCAACCACTACTGGGTTGAGTGAGGGCTCAGGTGCTGTCGAGGCACCAGTGCTGTGGATCCTGATACAAACACATGTCCATGGGAAAAAAGCAACCAAGTCCCCTCCAAAACTCTGGGACTCTGGGCACTTCCTTGCGTGAGGCTGGCGATGATCTCACCCCTCGTTCAGGGCATGCAAATGTTGGACATTGGGCTCTTTCACCGTGTCATCCTGCTGGGCTGCAGCTGCCCACCACAGGGGCACAGCTCAGCCACGGCACCTCTCTGTTACCCAGCAGTGCCATGCAGAAGGAGAAGACACCTCAGTGCTAAGGCCACAAGCAGGCTGCTGCAAGCGTGTCTGCCCGCAGCTGTAATGGACCCTGCGTGTCCCTGGCTGGGGGGAGAGAGCTGAGATCTTCAGGTATGACGAGTTGGCTGAGGGGGTGGTGATGTGCACTTGGAAACAGGTTTCTTCTGCTCTCAGCAGTAGCCTGTTTCTTTAGGGAGGAATGTCTGATTGTGATCGTACTCCAGCTCCAAGAGGTACCAGCACAGGGGAGCTGAGATCAGCTCTCCTCACTCTGCACCAAGGTACAGTCCCTTTGCCTCTAAGGACCCACAAGGTTTCACTTGCAGTTCAAC